AGAAAAATCTTAAACTGTGTATGTTAATCAATAAATGGCAGGACATTTGAGAAGTTGTATTAAAACCATATCTACTTCAATTTATTATTTGAGTACTAAATGTAATGCATTCCACTCAGAGACACTAGGTGTAAAATGCCTTTAAAGCATATCTGCGGTTGGAGCATAACAGACATGGTATATCCTTCTACCCCACAGCAGTAAAAACAACTCTTCTCTTAGCTCTGATTTAACCTCAAGCATTCATAATAAGCTGGAAACTCACGAATAACCTCACCTGTCGCCTGTGAATCATCTGTTCACCCACGTCTTCTCCTCCGTGTGTCATCAGATTGTCAGAAAAAATATCCCATCATTCGCTTTACTTGATTTCTAGCATTCACTTCAATGAATTTTACCCATGGAATAAATAACAGATCAGGGAGAAAAAGAAAAACAAACCCAGTGCAGGAGACATTTGTTGTATGAAGAAGCTATTATTTGTATTAGCTTACTGAGGTCAGAATACCCTCTTTATAATTACTGTAATTCTGTTATCTAAAAGCATTAATGCTGAAATGCTTGTTTTTATTTTAGAGTTAGTTATGTCTTATAGACCGGGCTGTACTTATCCTACTTTTTCTAAAGGTTGAAGGATCTTAGATTGACACAAAACAGAAAGTAGGAGGATATGTGAAATTTTGTTATGGTGAATCAGCCTTCCATCATCAATTAGGTTGTGTCAATCAGATTGGTGTGACAACTGGTTCGGGTATCTCTAATATCTAGATTTATTCAGCTCTTGTTACTTAACTTAAAATCTTTCTCTCTGTATATATATATGTATATATACAGAGAGAAAGATTTTAAGTTAAGTAACAAGAGACAGCATTTTTTGTGGCAGATCATAACTTCAGCACAATTAAACCAATTAACTTTATATATATATATATATACACTATATTGCCAAAAGTATTTGCTCACCCATCCAAATTATTGGAATCAGGTGTTCCAATCACTTCCATGGCCACAGGTGTATAAATTCAAGCACCTAGGCATGCAGACTGTTTTTACAAACATTTGTGAAAGAATGGGTCGCTCTCAGGAGCTCAGTGAATTCCAGCGTGGAACTGTGATAGGATGCCACCTGTGCAACAAATCCAGTCGTGAAATTTCCTCGCTCCTAAATATTCCACAGTCAACTGTCAGCTGTATTATAAGAAAATGGAAGTGTTTGGGAACGACAGCAACTCAGCCACGAAGTGGTAGGCCACGTAAACTGACGGAGCGGGGTCAGCGGATGCTGACGCGCATAGTGCGAAGAGGTCGCCAACTTTCTGCAGAGTCAATCACTACAGACCTCCAAACTTCATGTAGCTCAAGAACAGTGCGCAGAGAGCTTCATGGAATGGGTTTCCATGGTCGAGCAGCTGCATCCAAGCCATACATCACCAAGTGCAATGCAAAGCGTCGGATGCGGTGGTGTAAAGCACGCCGCCACTGGACTCTAGAGCAGTGGAGACGCGTTCTCTGGAGTGACGAATCGCGCTTCTCCATCTGGCAATCTGATGGACGGGTCTGGGTTTGGCGGTTGCCAGGAGAACGGTACTTGTCTGACTGCATTGTGCCAAGTGTAAAGTTTGGTGGAGGGGGGATTATGGTGTGGGGTTGTTTTTCAGGAGCTGGGCTTGGCCCCTTAGTTCCAGTGAAAGGAACTCTGAATGCTTCAGCATACCAAGACATTTTGGACAATTCCATGCTCCCAACTTTGTGGGAACAGTTTGGAGCTGGCCCCTTCCTCTTCCAACATGACTGTGCACCAGTGCACAAAGCAAGGTCCATAAAGACATGGATGACAGAGTCTGGTGTGGATGAACTTGACTGGCCTGCACAGAGTCCTGACCTCAACCCGATAGAACACCTTTGGGATGAATTAGAGCGGAGACTGAGAGCCAGGCCTTCTCGTCCAACATCAGTGTGCGACCTCACAAATGCGCTTCTGGAAGAATGGTCAAAAATTCCCATAAACACACTCCTAAACCTTGTGGACAGCCTTCCCAGAAGAGTTGAAGCTGTTCTAGCTGCAAAGGGTGGACCGACGTCATATTGAACCCTATGGATTAGGAACGGGATGTCACTTAAGCTCATATGTGAGTCAAGGCAGGTGAGCAAATACTTTTGGCAATATAGTGTATGTATATACACTATATTGCCAAAAGTATTTGCTCACCCATCCAAATTATTGGAATCAGGTGTTCCAATCACTTCCATGGCCACAGGTGTATAAATTCAAGCACCTAGGCATGCAGACTGTTTTTACAAACATTTGTGAAAGAATGGGTCGCTCTCAGGAGCTCAGTGAATTCCAGCGTGGAACTGTGATAGGATGCCACCTGTGCAACAAATCCAGTCGTGAAATTTCCTCGCTCCTAAATATTCCACAGTCAACTGTCAGCTGTATTATAAGAAAATGGAAGTGTTTGGGAACGACAGCAACTCAGCCACGAAGTGGTAGGCCACGTAAACTGACGGAGCGGGGTCAGCGGATGCTGACGCGCATAGTGCGAAGAGGTCGCCAACTTTCTGCAGAGTCAATCACTACAGACCTCCAAACTTCATGTGGCCTTCAGATTAGCTCAAGAACAGTGCGCAGAGAGCTTCATGGAATGGGTTTCCATGGTCGAGCAGCTGCATCCAAGCCATACATCACCAAGTGCAATGCAAAGCGTCGGATGCGGTGGTGTAAAGCACGCCGCCACTGGACTCTAGAGCAGTGGAGACGCGTTCTCTGGAGTGACGAATCGCGCTTCTCCATCTGGCAATCTGATGGACGGGTCTGGGTTTGGCGGTTGCCAGGAGAACGGTACTTGTCTGACTGCATTGTGCCAAGTGTAAAGTTTGGTGGAGGGGGGATTATGGTGTGGGGTTGTTTTTCAGGAGCTGGGCTTGGCCCCTTAGTTCCAGTGAAAGGAACTCTGAATGCTTCAGCATCCCAAGACATTTTGGACAATTCCATGCTCCCAACTTTGTGGGAACAGTTTGGAGCTGGCCCCTTCCTCTTCCAACATGACTGTGCACCAGTGCACAAAGCAAGGTCCATAAAGACATGGATGACAGAGTCTGGTGTGGATGAACTTGACTGGCCTGCACAGAGTCCTGACCTCAACCCGATAGAACACCTTTGGGATGAATTAGAGCGGAGACTGAGAGCCAGGCCTTCTCGTCCAACATCAGTGTGCAACCTCACAAATGCGCTTCTGGAAGAATGGTCAAAAATTCCCATAAACACACTCCTAAACCTTGTGGACAGCCTTCCCAGAAGAGTTGAAGCTGTTCTAGCTGCAAAGGGTGGACCGACGTCATATTGAACCCTATGGATTAGGAACGGGATGTAACTTAAGCTCATATGTGAGTCAAGGCAGGTGAGCAAATACTTTTGGCAATATAGTGTATATATATATATAGTTTATTTTTGCAGAGCTGGTCACTTTTTGCATCTCATACTGTAGTACCTAGAAAATGTATTTATTTTTTTCTGGAACCATTATATTATATTTTTAATCATGATTCATGTGATAGACCAACACAGAGTACTGGATAAGTCATAAGTGGAAGGAAAATGATAAAGATGTTTCTTTTTGGAAAAGTAATACAATAAAAGAAAAAAAACTACAGTTGTATTCAGGCGAAACAGCTACCTATCAGAATATTATATATATTATATATAATATGCCTAAAAGCTTTTCTTTACTTTTAAGAAGGTAAATGTTCAATTATTTTCTGCAAGATATCTAAACTTCAGTCAGATTGATAATAAATCTTTATAACATCACTGTTCATGTTTTGCCATAAACTGTCAGCTTGATTTGTTCCGGATTTTGCCGTGGGCCTTCTAACTCATAAATACGCTTTGACTTGGATTAATGTAGCTCACAATGAATGTTTAGGGTTGTTGTCCTGCTCTAAGATAAAACTCCATGCACCCTCGAGTCTCAAGTCTTTTCTTCCTGTATTGAGCACCCCCAATTTTTCCTTTTCGATGCTTAATAAAATGATCGATTAAGCATCATCCTGCCACTGCCATGTTACAAAATGCCGATATTGTTTTCAGGACAATGTGTATTGTTAGTTTTGAAAAAGTGTTCTATGTAAAAATCAAATTTAGATCTCATTTAACCATAGCACCCTCTTTCATGTCTTTTTGCAGTGTCTGCTACATGGCTTGTGGTAAATACAAAAAACAAACAGGGCTTCAGGTAGCTTTTTGTCAACAATTTTTTTTGTTATTTGAATTGTGTCGTGCACAGTTAACAGCTTTTCTGTCAATTCATTTTCTGACTTCAACTATTGATTTCTGCCGCTCCTTCAGACTCTAATTTTTATTTTTCATCCATCTTTAATTAATTCTCTAATGATGACCTCTTAGCTTAGATGGAAACTTATGTTTGTTTGAAGTTGTGCTTGACGTTTTCAATTACTTGATAACGGTTTGTACAGTACTTCAAAAGATGGAAAAAAATATATTTTCATAAAAAAAACTGTGTTATATTTCCCTTTAAATTACCCACAATCTGTCTGCTGTGTTTCCTGGTCTGTAATGACCTTTATATCTCCAGTATGCTCTGACAAGCCTCTGAGACCTTCAATGAACAGCTGCATTTATACCCACTATATCTATACTGATTTATTTATACTAAGTAATTGGATATATCAAATCAACTACAGCTCTAGATTTTATAAAGAGGTGTCATAAAAATAGCATCACTGATCTGTTACTCCAAAATTCATTAATTACTATGGTTGCAATTTTAGTATGAAATGAAAGTTATTCCTTCTCAATTATAATATGAATGGATGTTTTACTCAAGAAAATATGCAAATATTTATTTGGAATGGATTGTATTTTTATTTGATGTTTAATGTGTCCATACACTGATCCTCCACCAGATGACGCTGTTTTGTTTCCACCTGAGCTGGAGTCAGTGCGCGCTAGCGGAGAATCCTGTCAGGTTCACCGCAGCAGATCTGACTCTTCTGCGTCTCCTTCTGTGACGCTGTCAGCCTCGTCTCATGCCTCTCGTTTATCAGTCCACCGTTCATCATATTTTGCTAAAAAAGAAACTCATTAGTCACTTTATATGAGCGTAGGTGGAAAAACCAATATACTTCCCTCCAATATGCACCTGCATAGGTGAGACGCAAAAGTGGAAGGGAGGATAACTTTTATTTAATAATAGCTCTTTTTTTTTGTTGGGCTGTACACTTCTGCCTGGCAGATCGCCCTCCGATGCAATTAACCCAGGAAGACGACTTTGTGAAGGACTCCACGCCGACCACCGCAGCACTCCAGCCGGACAGAAGCGCCGGATCTCCGGCCAAGATGTGCAGCGAGTGCTACGTCAATCAGTCATTTGTGAACGACGACGGGACCGTGAGCGCCCATAAACCCCGGTAAGAGAGACAGAAACAAAGCTCCGGCTGCATGTGTGACCCTTTTCCTTCTTTCTTTCTCCTTTTTTTTAAGTTAACAAATATTACCCAAAGTTCCATTCTGATTAATTCACTGTATAGTTTTCAGATGCATTATTTAGTTTTATGAATAAACTACATTGTGGCCATGTTTGTTCATCCATCCCCACACCTGTCCTCAGCTGTCTCCTCTGTTATTTATTCAGCTGCCGACTGTCTCTAATAATTAAACAGTTATTGGCATAATACAGCACTGCAATAAAGAGCTTTAAAACTAAAAACATCCAATCTGTCTATATGCACTATATCCACAGGGGTAAAATTGTTGAAAACAGAAACTGTTATTTGTCTAACAGGTTTTTTAATGATTTAATTGGAGAATATAATTTATCAGATTGTTTTTCTAGCCTATTGATATTCTTTTTATGTAATATTTTTCTATAAATAGATACATTTAGATTGATTAAATAAGAAAGACATTGTTTGGTGCAATAAACAATTATTGTTCAATATCTGCAAATACAAGCTGAGCCCTTCTTTTAAAGCATACCATAAAGTCCTGCAGTTTTCGAGTGACATTAGTGCTACATTTGCTGCTTTTGATTTGTTTACCTGAATAGATTAAAAAAAATATTATTATTATAATTTTTTTAACTCTGAAAACTGTAATGCAAAATTATCACAAACACACATCAATGGAGAAAGGATGTGATTTTGAAGGTGTGCGTTTCTCCCTGTCTCTCTTTGGTCCCTTTATCCCGTTTGTTTTGCAAATGATGCAGTCTGCGTTTCTAGGAGACTGAAAGCAGCACCAATCTTTTCAGCAGACCATCAGCACTTCTGTCATTATGACAATTTTACAATGTTTTGCTCTTGCAGGCAATTCAGCGAGTATAATAAAGACGCCCCTATTTTTTGCTTGGAAAGGCAAAGTAATCAATACAGCCACTTTATCTGTCCTTAAGTTGATCTATTTATTTGTGATTTTGTTTTTTTTCTTCATTTTTTTGCATCATTGAATGTCAGCATTAATTTAGGGAAACATAGCATATATTTATCACACTCTTGCAGTGGATTTATGGGTGTATTTGGAGAAGCTTTCTAAGATTTTGTTAAATAGAAGTCAGGAGGATCTTTCGGGGAGTAAATCGAGCTATCCAGGTCCAGAAAATAAAAACCCTGCACAGGGATTAGTTCCAACCATTTGCATATCCAGTTCCACAACAAAGACTGGGAGCTAATCACCTGGTTTTGTCAACAGGATGAAGGAAAACAAGGCAGGCACCTCTGGATATACTTTCCATTCCATTTGAAACCCTGTGAAACATGGAGGTGGCATTACCATGCTGTGGGGTACGCTGCTTGAGTTGATGGGAAGGTTTATGAAGATAAATAGAGTGCAATTCTTGAAGAAAAACCTCTAATGATTTTCAAAATACTTAGAATGAGGCAGAGGTTCATCTTTCATTAGGACAACAGCACTAGTGGTATCCCTATACCAGATTTCTTCTAATCGAGTATGAGTGCAAGTACTGACATCCTAATACTTGTTGATACAGAGTACCGTGATGTGCTAAAGAAAGATTTATCAAATATAAATGTTTTGATCTGATTTTCTGAAATGCAAACTCAGACTTTTACCTTGGTCCAGTACAGCTTTGTTGCAATAGATGGGGGTTTCTTCCAATATGGAGGGTCTCTAAGTCTGAATGAACTTCACTGTTTTGACACTGGGATCTTTGCTGTAAAGGAAAGCTTTGTATGCACATCTTAAACTTTCTCTCCCCGATTCTTTCTTTAGAAGACATCACTCGGAATGAACACTTTATAAGGTTATTGTATTAAATGACTAGAAAACATGTCACAATGGTAATCTTAGAGATTGAATGGATATGATGGGCCATCTGGTTTGCTTCATCAGAGAGTCAACAGCAGCCCAAATTAACCGTTTAAAGAAGCATTTTATACATCACCGGGGTCCCACCCTGCCACATCATCACATCTCACATAATTAGTTTGTACTTGAGGATAAATCACTGGCTCTAACCATATTAAGATAATACACAGTCTTCTTAGATCAAGGACAACCTGAATGCACAGTGAAAGAGCTATACGTTAAGAATAATCCACTCTGTCTGTATGCTCCCATTTAATTCCCAGATCTTTGTTATGTACATAACGAAAATGATTATTTTCTACCCTGACAGAAGAGCTGTCCTAATTAGATAAACTGCTTGTGAAACGTATTTTTGAAAAGTAACAGGGAGCTAACAAGCAAATACATGAATGATCAAAAACAATCCTAAAACTGTCAAATATAAAAGTGTTACGGGTTTAGAGTATTGGATTGTTTTTATAAGTATAGGTACTTGAGACTGGTATCAGTCCTGATACCAATACGGTATTGGTACATCTCCAACAGCGCTAACACGAACCCACATCTATCCCTGTAAAGGTTCTCAGTAACTACCTGAATTACTGCCTAAAAATCCTTTGCTAATTAACAGAGATGCTGTAATTGTCTAAAATGTTGTTTTATACAATAAAGCTTAAGGCGTAATGAAAGCTAGAACATGTTCATATTTCTACCTTAGACAACGCCACATTAAGCTTTTAGAAGCAGCAGCAGTCTTTTATGGCACCTGCTATCTGTGTCCATAAATGTTAGGAGAGGCATTTATAGTTGATTGTTTTGTACTCTGATTCTTTGTAAATGTGTTAATTCTTGTGAAACCTAACCATTTTTCCACTTTTCCACCCCCTTTCTGTGTTTTATCTTGTTTCTGTGCTTCTTTTATCATCCATCCTTTTGTTCCATCCCTCTCCATTTATACAGAGCCCTTTTTTCTTCCCCTTTCTTAATTTCCCTTCTGCCTCTTTACTTATCTCCTCTCCCTCGTTTAGTCCTGCCACAGCACCACTTCAGACTAATAGCAACTGCAGCAGTGGAGTTATCCTAGACATCTCCTCACTGAAGATGGAGCAGCTGGAAAGCGAGGTCCCTCCGCTGCCGCCCCGTTTTCGCTTTAGAGATTTGCTGCTTGGGGACCAAAACTTCCAGAATGATGACAGGTAAGTGACAGCAAGGACATGAGGTAAAACTTTCACTCGCTCTTTAGGTAAGGCCGGAGCTGCAGCAGTGTCATGAAGATCAGTCAAGTCTTATGGTAGACACGCTTTTGACCATTCTGACAATCTTACAAATGAAACTAAAACAACTCTTAAAGCTATATTTTATTTGATTTACAAGTGAAAAATAAAACAAAAAGTATTTTTTAAAAGCTAATTGTTAGAAGTCTTAAGTTTATTTGTGCAAAATTACAATAAAGTGTTTTTTCTATCTTAATTAAAGTAATAAGCTGAGTTAAACTGACCTAAAATCTTTTAAACCTGCCCCAAAAAACACATTCTTCTTCTTGATGCAATGTAAAATAAGTACTGAGGTTAACAATTCAACAGAATTACTGATATTCATAAGTAGCTGTATATTAGGATTCAAACTTGATACCTTTGCTTTCTCTTACACTATCAGTTTTTTGTGTTTTTTATCCCTGTTTCACTAACAGTCAACAAGTGCCATTGATAAGCATGAAAACAAACTTGATCCAAATGGCTTATCTGTGTGTAGTCTGGTGTTCTCCAGTCTGGTGAAATTGGGTTTAAACACAAAGCTCAATGGCAGAAATGTTTTCCTCTTACAGTCTTGACAATCATAAATGGGATTAGAGATGTTATAAAGCGGAATATTATTGGTGCTTTTGCTTTGGATAAAAAAAAAATCCTGAATTGAGTTATGGGTGCTGTTTACTTGTTGCTCATGATGCTGATGTTTAACTCCTCATTTATTTTTACTTTTTAATGCTCTACATTTTGATTCCTTAAACAGTCAAACACATTATTTAAATGTTATGTTCTTGGTGCTTTTGCTTTTGAGGGTAAAATGCTTGAATTACCGTATTTTCACGACCATAAGGCGCACCGTACTAAAAGGCGCAGTCCCAGTTATGTGTCCCATTTCTGTATTTAACACACACATAAGGCGCACCGGACTATAGGGCGCGTTTTTTTATATACAGGTACATGTCCTCTACTACGTTTAAATACCTCTACTGCGTATTTAAAAATAGAGCGGGAGCAAAACTGAGTATGTGCTTTATTCATGTATTTATTACAAAGTATTAATAAAACCTGGGAGCTGGCCGTGAGACAGACACATCACAGATGACAGAGCGCTGTGATGACTCCTAAATTAACTTAAAATCCTGAAACCTGCCGACGGAATATGTTCGCTTTTATTACCGGTATCCTGGTGCCTGCAGTTTAAATTATTTAGATGAAAACCGCCAGCCACCGCGGTGAACCCGGAGGCGACCAGGCCCAGAGGCTGCTGTTGAAGGGATTCCTGCTGTCGGCGCACCGCTGGTATGTGGGGGTCTGAGCGCCTCCGACAGAAATAGATAATCTGGATGAACTGACTGCAATTATTAAGTTTTCAGGTGGACTTTCTCACTTACAAACATATTAAAACTACTTTATTCCCACTGATCACAGCAAATATAGCTGCAAGATTTAGATTATTTAGATGAAAAACACCTGCCAGTCGCCGAGGTGAAACGGGAGGAGACCCGGCCCAGAGGCTGCTGTTGAATTAAGTTTTCAGGTAGAAAAATAGAGCGGGAGCAAAACTGAGTATGATTGTGATTTATTCATGTATTTATTACAAAGTATTAATCAAACCCATCGAAGTCATCATCCTCTGTTTCTGAATTAAACAGCTGCGCTAAATCAGACATGCCAATTTCCCCTTCTTCGCTGTCAGAGTCACTTTCCGTGCCGTGCGGCTCCTCAGAAATAATGCCGGCTTTTTCAAAAGCTCGAACAACAGTGCCAGCAGACACGTTAGTCCAAGCATCTACAATCCATCCGCAAACGGTGGCGTAACTTTCCCGGCGCTGCCTTCCACTTTTCGTCAAACCACCTGGTCTCCTCACATACACCTGCCTCAGCCACGCTTTCATCATCTCCTCATCCATCCAGCCCTTTTCATTTGCCTTGATATCATATGTCATCAGAGCAATGTGTCTGTCTCGCTGTCAGCTCCCAGATCAGCTTCTCTGATTGGTTGATGCGGCGCGTCCAGCAGCAAAACTTCAATTTTTACATCTCGAGCTGCAGCAGCAGCGCGTTGGCGGCGCGCTCCCGACGCGCTGCACCAGGTGCTCAAAACGCGCTGTGGGACTTTTTGCTGCGCCTATACGCGCGTCAACCATTGACTTTGCATGTAAACTCGCTGCTTCTGCTGCACCTGCTGCATCCGGTTCACACCGATGTCGAGCGGTTGAATAACAGCGAGCACAGCATTAATTTGTTTCACCATGTTTTTCACATCAGCTGTGAGATGGGCACGCATGGAGTCACATATTAACAGCGATGGTGATGAGTGGAAAAAACCACCTGGTCTCCTTACATTCACCTCCCTCAGCCACTCTTTCATCATCTCCTCAATGAGGTGGTCTCAAAAGTCGCAGTTGCAACACACATAGGGCGCACCGCACCAAAGGGCGCACAGCACATTTTGAGGGAAAAAAAAGACGTTTATGTGCGCCTTATAGTCGTGAAAATACGGTAACTCTTTTGTTCCATCTACTGTGCTGTCCATGGTGCTGAAATTTAAGAGCGTACCGAAACTTATGTACTTGATACAAGGTGCTTTTTTTTCTTCTATTTAAAGCTAGAAGAATTGCTAGTATTTCTCTAAAATGAATTAAACTTTTTTTTTTTTTTTTTAAACATATTTTCCTTTTACAGCATTTTTTGTAAGATATCTGATTAGGGTCATTGGCAATCCTTCCAAAAAATATAAAATCCAATTTTGTTTTTATATAATATTTAAATAAACATTTTCAGATGATACCATTAGATTTTCTCTTATAGCAGATTTTAAATTTGTGATATCACCTTAAAATTCTGTTATTACAAATGTTATATTAGAGTGGAATATCTTTTTTTCTTCAGATGAAATACTGTGAAAATATTTTCATTGTGTAGGGAAAAAGTATGGAATCATCCTTTTTTACTTGAATTTATAAAACACTTACATGCAATGTGAAATTATGCAAAGTAATAGGCAGTTAGAGTGATTGTAGACCTTAATGAGCACTTGCACAGTGCTGATTGACAGGAAGCATGAGTCCCAACAAGACAGCTGTTTTACATAACAATAGAAAGATTCCTCAAGTATTTGGGTTTGTATTCAGTGCCTTGCAAACAAAATGGGAAGGTTATGAAAGGTAATTATTCTGGGGGACCAAGGATAGGATCTGGTCAGAAAATGTAGAACATTTTAATTAGATAAAATGGATATGAGCAGAGACAGGCGTAAACTTTGGCGGAACTCTAAAAATGCCATTAAAGACAAGTGGATTTAAGCCTTGTGTGGTTTTCTGGTCTGGATTCCTTTTTTATTATAGCAAAATGTACAAATGTTTATATTTTGTTCAAGCTCAGCTCATTTGTCTTGGCTCAATCTGAAGAACATGAATCAGGAAACACACTAGATGAGCACCCTTCTGTGCCCCACAGTTGATAACATTGTGTACTGTGAATCTGTAAATCAAGTAATTGCAGAAAGGTAAGCGTCTTTTGTGTATTTCAATTTAAATTTTTTTTATTGTGTTAACAAACAATACCATACATATAGCATGTCCAGCAGACCGATGAACACTTTATGCATAACGCAAAATATAAACATCACACAACAGTTAGGTCAACAAAACACATTAGTATCAGCTGTACTCAAGCAAAATATAATTGAACTTAAGAGAAGCTTTAGGGATTGTATGTAGATGATCGTATTGGATGACTATTGCGAATCCTGTTTCTGTGTTGGCCAGGGAGATTAGGCTGAAACATTTCTCTGGTGCCACACTGATTTAAATTAGAAAGATAAATATCAAACCGAGCCAGGGATTATCCACATCTTTATTATGAAAGCAGCTCATTACAGGCAAAGCAACAGAGCAGATCAATATTGATTACCTTTGCACAAAATACACATTAACTAGAAAGAGAGAAAACAATGTTCTGAAGTCATAGAGTTACTCCATACCTGAATCAGTGAACAAAAAGTTTCTTCTGAGCAATGTCCCTCAGTAAGATGAAGGTTTTTCATTAGGCACCATTGAGTTTCAGGTGAAATGTAAAATAAATTTTAATCAGATTAGATGTTTAAAAACAAAGCTGTTGATCCTCATTGGAATTAAACAACACATTAACATCTGTAACAATCATACAAATATTAAATGTATATTAGACTAACTTTAATGTGCACAAAATCAATAGTTTCAGAACTAGGGAAGCTTAAAAGTACACCTCTTGTGCATTTACTTTAAGTAGAATAAATGCATAAAAATAAAAAAAAGTATACTAAGGAATTAAAAAAATTACAACCAATGTCCATCCATCGTCTCCCGCTTAGTCCTGTCAGGTCACCGTTCTGTCGCAGGGCAACACAGAGACACACAACCATGCACATGCACATACTCACACCTAAGGTCAATCGAAAAATTAATCCATAGATTAATCGATTAGCAAACTATCTTCCAATCAGCAGAGGCACCGAACAAGGCTGTGAATTTTGCCCTCCTCTTAATCCAAAAGGGTTAAGGTACATCAGCGTACTTTACAAAGCTTCAATGTTCATCCATAAAAAAAAAGCACCTTTTCTTTTTTTTTTGGCAAAAAGCAAGATCAACCAAATGAGCAATTTCCTTATTTTAAGATTTTTAGCTTTTTCTTTTATAAAAATCAAAATGTTGCTGAGAATACAGTCAAGGGTTTTTTATAAAGCCAAAGTCTTGCAGCTTAAAAACCGTACCTTTTTTAAATACTCATATTTCCAGAGAGCATGCAAATGGTTAGACATGGTTTTGCATGCAGTTTCAGCAAAAAGCCTATGGACTAGATTGCTTCCAGCAATGTTTTTCAAAACAGATTTATTGGCTAAATGAAAACTACTTCTGCTGGAGCCTTTAGTCGAAGTTGGCCTTGAACCTGTCTGTCCTTGCACAAATAATTGTTTTCTTTTGATAAAAGGGTCCACATTGCAAGCTCAATTTTATGTCCTGGCTCTTACAAAGAACCCCTCTCTTCCTGCCAGTCAATAATGTTAACGACGAATACTGTGTCAGGTTATATTGTCATCAGTAAACAAATGTCACTGGTCACATTTTGACATGGATCATTATGCATTCATATATTGTTTCTTAAAGGTAAAAGAATGCTAAAGAAAAAGGCATACATTTATACTAAGTGGAACAGTAAAATAGCATCTTTAATTGCAGCAGGTTTCCCCTTTTTCCCACTTTAAGTTCTCCCATTATCCTGTTTCTAAGGGGATACGTTTTGGGATCTAAATATAGAAACTGAAAATGTCATATTTTGCAGCACAAGTCACAGTGTGGCAGAAAGTGCCCACATGTAACTTGAAAAGCTACATTAAGTGGATGTACCAGGCGTGGGCGAGAGGAGGTTCAAGTGGAGCGGCCTCTTCCGGTGTTTTCAAAAGCTGTGACTCATGGAGGAGGTTGTCTGAAAATGAGCGCTTGAGATGTTTTTCCCCATTCAGTGGAGATGGAGCCAAAAGTGGGAGCAGAAAGGAGAGGGGAGCAAGCTTTGATTATTTTATCTCCTTTAGGTTCTGCAGGTGTCATTTCTCAACAAAACCTTACACATTATTAGACCATGGAGAGCCCCAAATTAACACCAACACTGGAGCTTAACACTTTGCCCCCTTTCTTCTAATACAAGAACAAGAAAGTAGAAGGATAAAGGAAAACATATATAAAATCCCAGAAGATCAGATAGGGAGGCCTATAGATCTACATCCAACAGTCAGAGTTGCACAAACACAAATACTGCTTTAAATTGTTAAGTTAAACTGTTAAACAGCATATGAAAAAAAAGTTTTTCATTATTAAATTGCATTTTTTATATACAGATCTAATATCTCATCATGCTCTAACATAATAAGTAAAAGGTAACAAATAGAAGAAAAAAAATCCTAACCGTTATCATTATTATAACTACTACTGGCCTTAATCTTGTCATTGTAATTACAAGATAAACAAGCAACAAAAAACTTCTTTAGAAAAACAAAAGTGCAAAGAATGATCATTTTTGGATTTTGTTGGAAAAAAATTATATAATTGATATGTTAGTATAATTTCCATAGAACCAGATCAAACCTAAATTTCTCTTTATCCTCTACCATGTAATATTTTTATCAAATGCTGCAGTATTGTTGGAGAGCTCCATGCTGCACCACCACGATCATTGTAATGTTGCTGTGGCAACAGGTCCGCACATGAGCAGGGCGCAAAAAAAAACAACAAAACGCTGTATACAAACTCTAAAAATATTACCATTCCACAAAACACATGAACAAATTAAGGGCAGAGCAAATTCTCTCTCTGTAGCTCTAATCAGTGTTTTTTCTCTCGAAAAGCCCAGCAGTGATCATTTTCCTACATACAAGCTGTTCTACTGTAGCTCTGCATGGGGGTGCATTAATCAACAAGGCTGATAGTGCAGGAATTAGGACGTAACACTCGGCGTAGCAGGTGTCTTTGCATGATGGACCCAGAGAACATCATCCACACCTGGATCAGTCCATCTGTGGGAATTTGGAGGTCGGATGTTTTTGGTAGTGACGCTGGGCAGAGGTAGGTTGCTTGATGTCATAAAAATAGAGGAACTAATGTCTGTGGAGTCAGAGGTGTGACACTATGGTTGTTGATCTCGTTATTTGTTGCCCAGATAAGAAACATTATAGGCCTATTTATGTGTTTGGTAGTTAGAAAAGGATGAAAAGATACCCTGGGTCCTTGTGGTTATGAATTTGAACTTTAAATAAATATACTTATCCTGTTCGCTTACACACCCAATGCACTAAAGCTACTGATTAAGATTGATGTACATATTGTAAAGGAATAATTACATTTTGAAAGGACCTTTCCAGCCGCTGCATTGCCTGCAATGATAAAAGCCCTGGTGGGAAAAAAAAAGCCTTAAAGAATCAATGTTTTGAATCAATGTTTTTAACTTTTATAATTTGAGAAAAAAGAAAAACAATAAGTTGCACAACATTTGACAAAAGAGGAGCATTCTTTTTTTCAATATTGATCTAAAGGTTGGATCTTACAACAAGTCATCATTGACCTTTGTGCAATTTCCCAGAGAAGGTCCAGAGTCCTGCACCTTTCCTCCTTTGCTAAACCCAAAGGTTCAAAAAATAAAATAAAACATTTATGTCTGGGTACCTAATGAAACTAATTTTCATATTGGATCCCAATATCCCACACCCAATATCCAGGATCTCTTCCATGATGCCAGCAACACCAGGAGGATGTGCCAAGCCATATGGGCGATCACAGACTACAACACACCCTGCCCCCCCAGTAGATGCAGCAAAGACTGACTTCCTAAATTAACTGAACAACTTCTTTGGAAGGTTTGAGGCACTAAAAAGCACTCCAGCAGTGAAAGCTGTTCCACACCAGGGGGAGGAGGCACTAAACCTTGATATAGCTGAAGTGAGGAAAACTCTGAGGAGAGTCAACCCAATAAAGGCCCCAGGCCCCGATAACATACCTGGGCGGATGTACAAGGAGAGTTCTGGTTCAAAGTTTGTATAGGTTCTAACCTATTAACCTTTTTTAAGTTAGCTTGCAGAGACCTGCATGCCTTGACTCAAGAAATGCTTTTTAATTATTTGATGCTTCATTTGGTTTCAGTGGATTTAGGTCAAAATATATTCATAAACACAGTTTAAAGCCACATGAACCTTTTCATTACAAACAGATGATTTCTGCTTACTAATGGACCAATCATTTGTCATTTGTTCTTTCTCTGTGTTCCTGTCTCAGTGTAAACTTACTCTCTTTTGGCACTTTAAAATAAACACAAGACTTAGAATATTTGATCTCATTTGGAGCTTATCCTTTTTTCTAATGCACGGAAAACTCTCTGTTGCATGGCTGATGTCAGACAACTTCAGCTTTGTAATTGTGTAGGAGCTAATAAAGGGGCATCCTGTGCATGTGCAGATGTGTGGGCAGAGGAATGAGACAGAAAGACAGACGGAGATCAGTCTGTAGGACTCTCAGTATGTGGCAAGCAGCTATTTACTGAAGTGTTTCTGCTTCCACAGCTCACCTGTCTAGATGGATTTGCTCTTTTGAGATATTTCTTTACTTTCTGCTGGAATTGTTTTGATCTTAAGTGGAGGTTTATCTTCAAGCCATATCCATTAAAAGTGTTACTTTTTTGCATGCAACACCCCACTTTCTGTCCTTCTATCACAGTCATTTTATGACACTTAAGATTAGACAAAATGTAAAAAGAATCCATATAGACAGAAAAACCTCTGAACTTTATTAGAGTTATTCTAATCTCTTCCTTTCCCCTCATGTGAACTCTCCTCTGAGAGAAGAACTTTGAAGATTATTCATTAATGCTGTAAAGCTTCATTTAACTTTTCAGAGCTGCACAGCAGTACAACTCCTATTTTCTCGTTCTCTCTCTTTGCATGTGCATTGTCTGAAAAATTTGCTGTTTTTTAGTAATAATCATTCTGAAATTTTATTCATAATAAAGAAATGCAATTTTTTCGCAATTAACCACTACGTTTCAGTAAGCCAATAACAACCTGCGATTTTCCTTCCTGTTCACATTTATGCACTACTTTCTTAGGCCTATCAAATTATGCCAATAGGTGCTGTTTGTTTGAATCAATTTCTAAAGGGGTCATAGCCTTGATTTGATAAAAACAACTCAATTCTTTTAAATCAAGAAGTAAAGAGGTTGTATGTTAAAATAATTAGTCTTTTTCTATAATCTTGTTTTAATTTTCTTCTGGCTAAATCTTCTCTCTAAGCTGAGACAGATGCTCTTTAATGGCTTATTTCAAATTGCATGATCTGCAGTTACCCTGCCTTGTAATTGGAAAGAAAATAAGAGACAGATAATTACCCTACTCGACTTATGAAAGATAATTAGAAACGCAGCAGCATGATTATTCCTGCTCTATTACCATCTCTGTTTCACGAAATCATCTGTGTGGCCCCCAAGCGTTTGAACAGTTGTTCTCCCTGTTCTTTGCTGTTAGGGTGCAGGTCGAGTTTTACGTGAATGAAAACACCTTCAAGGAGCGTCTGAAGCTTTTCTTCATCAAAAACCAAAGATCAAGTAAGTGGGCGGGACTGCTGGTTTTCCTCTGATGTGTTAAAATGGCTTTTAGTGCTTTAAGATATTCCATTTTTGGGGGGATTTATTAGTAAAATTACAAACATTTTGAAGCTACAGCAAGTAAACAAGCAAAAAAGAAAAAACACTCTTTTTTTTTCCAGGCCTAAGGATTCGCGTTTTCAACTTCTGCCTGAAGCTACTAACCTGTCTGCTGTACATCATCAGAGTGATGACAGACAGACCTGGTCAGACAGGTGGAAGCCACAGCTCGCTGCAACAAAGCACTCCAAATGGCAACAGCAAATGGTTTGTTCAAACTCGAGGTCTAAGTCCGGTGAAGGGCAATAATAACACACATATTGCTCTCTGTTTACATAATGCATAAATATCAGAAAGATATTTATGCATAAAAGGGGACTAATGTGAGTTAAAACCTAACAAAGTACAAAAAGATGTTCAAATTAAGTGGTTCAGGGGGCATTACTCTGATGAAAGGGTTGAGACTCTGTGGCTTTATTGTTTAAAGGACTCCTGCTGATCAAGTACATTTCCCCGACAGTTATTTGCTTTTATATCCATTAACTTGAGGGGAAGCCTGAACACAATCATCCTATCAGTGAAACTACAACACAAGTCAAATCCCTTCAGTTGAATGATATATTTTTAACTTGCATGTGGAGGGACTATTTGTCTCATAATACAGGGCTGTTTTTGAATAAAAACTGCTAATAAAATCATTTGGAAAGTTGTTAAAATTGTTTACCCAATGTAGAAGTTTACAGGACTTTATTTTCACTAAGGGGGGGACATTTAAGAATTTTATTTTTTTCACTGTTTTATCCTGTTTGTTTTAATTTGTTTTCTGTGCCATCATCACTGCTTTGCAGTGTCGACTGTCAGTGGAATGGATCAGTGCAGGACAGAGAAATCAACTGGTAAGTCAATTAAAAACACAACATTTTCAGATTTCATTGTTGTCATTGTTTGTACCACCACTTCTTTGATAAATTTTGTATTTTACATTTTGTTTTTTGTTATAGTGCTGTTCATGCTTTTTGATAAAGATCTATAAAAAAATCAAATTATAAAGAGATAAAAAAAAACAAAATCCTGTGTTAAGAAAACATTTTTTCAACATAGTGATCTGTGGCATCTTATTGGGACTATAATTAAATTATTTTAAAATCCTTAAATTATTTAAAAATCCTTAAATCAAGTAGATTTTTGAATAGTGATCAATGGTTCAGTCATATGACACAATTTCTCTTTCCCATTATTTAAAATCTGTAACACTGGTAAATATGTGATTCATCTAGCAAAGATGTGTGAAATAAGTATAAGTAAACACATTTCTAAATGTTTTCTGTCTTAATCTGAAGTCAGTACAATTATTAGACAGTGTAACACAAATGGATCCATCAGAATAGGCTGATGAAATTATAAACATGCACACAGAGCCACATGGTAAGGGAAGGAAAAGAAATCTCTGAAAGCTCACTATTAGAGACTTGCGGGAACAAATGGGATCTTGAACTCACCAAGTCTCTCTTATTGCAATAAAAATTGTCTGAGTGGGAATTTGGGGAAAAAGAATTATGTTTGATTACCACAAACTGATTTAAGAAATGCTTCTTGGATTTTTACTACCGGTATAACCGCAGATGCATCTCAGATTTTGATTTTTCTCTGTAGGGACTTGATCTTCTGGGTGGAGAGGAAGGCTCCAGTCTGGGCCATTCAAGTGAGTCAGACCAGAATCCACAGTAAAGTGGGTTTTACCCGTTGGGGCTCTTTGACTTCTTGCTCTTGTAACGTTACCAGTCATGTTTATTCTTTGGTTTGTTTAGGTGATTGTGGCCATCATTAGTTTCCTGGAGACTATGTTGCTCATGTATCTGAGCTACAAGGTGAGACAGAGATGCAACAGAATAAAAACACACACAGAGTTTGAACATGGTTAAGCCATTCTGTGCAATTAATTGCTTTCACCTTGTGAGGCTGACAATTTGTAAGTGCTGCAATTAGCCCAAGTCATTTGTCGCAGCAACAGTCAGGATCCCTGCTAATTACACGATCTGGTTGAGGTGAGAAAGTAAGTGGTTGACGATGATGACAGACCGTGATAAAAAAAAAAAAAAAAACTGAATCTGTGCTGTGAGTCACACTCCTTTGTGTGGTTGCAGATCAAAAACTGAAAGTGTATTTATTTTGTTTGTTTTTAGGGGAACATTTGGGAACAAATATTTCAGGTGTCCTTTCTTCTAGAGATGCTCAACACTGTTCCCTTCATTATTACAGTAAGACTTTTGCCATTTTTAAAATGTGATCTTTCTTGCCAGAGGGTATTTTTGTTGTTGATTGCTGGCCTCAGAACAGAACTATCTGAATATAAATTTATCAATATGAAAAGGAAACAGAATTTTGTCTCTTTGATAATAATGAGACCCATAACTACCCCCCCTACACACCATCTCACTGTGCACACATTTAAATCTCTTTCAATATGAGTGGGCTATTTAAATATATGAGGTTTGTGACACAATTTGAAGTGTCCTGTTGACAACAATAAAAAATGTTTTTTGCATATCCCGGATCCAAGGTAATCTGTGTTACTTCCTTAAATTGATGGATTTGATACAACTTCTATAGACTGCCATAAGTTACAGTTTGGGCAGAAATAATTCAGACAAAAATATCTCTTTTTTTTTTAAGTAATATTATGTTTTAGGAGTAGTTCAGCTAGAGTTCTCACTTAAATCTGATTGAGAATCTGGGGAAGAAGCTAAAGATGGAGGCGATTGCATAGAGGCCTTCCAACCTCTAAATCTCTTAGCTCATCTTCATATATAAATTGTTAAAACACCAGTAAAAACATGCAGAAAGCTGATCAGCAAGTAAAAGAAGGGTTTAATTCCTGAAATGGCAATCAAGATTGTCCTCCACTGCTTATTGAGAAAGCCATTTTGATTAAATGAAAATTAAATACTTCTTCTTGTTTTTCGCAATCAGTATGTAAAATAAAATTTTCATTGTTTTGTTTGTTTTTGAAAGAGAGAAAGAGATGTCTGCCTAATCAGTTAGAAATATAATGTAGTATAATGTTCAAGCATTATATTACATGGGGTAGTGATGGCCTTGAGGTTAGAGCAAAGTCCTTGCATAAATAAAAAAATAAATTATGTACTTTAGGTTAAAAAAAGGGTAACTTTTAAATGAAAAAAAAAAAATATACTATTTTACTCAATAAATAAAAAGGGTTTTCTTGAAAATAAAGATGAAAATCTCAATAACGGCATAAATAAATAAAGGTTGAACGAAAAATTAGATTTAATTCCTGATACAATTTTTTTATTTTTTTTATTTGTTGAGAGTATTTTCACTTGTTGAACTGTTAAACTTTCATTTTAGATCTTTTGGCCTTCGATAAAGGACATCTTCATTCCTGTGTTTCTCAACTGTTGGCTGGCTAAATGTGCTTTAGAAAACATGATTGTAAGTGGCATACATATTCTTAGCTCTCTTTCACCATGACTTTTTTTTAAGGCCTTGATCTTCCTTCAAATCTAATTGCAACACACCTTTACTCCTCTTGAATAATGCTTAAACAGAAATATTCACATTGGGATCTTCTTGCCTTACAGTTCTCCTGCATGGATTATCTACATAAAAATAAACATTTACCAAAAATATAATTAATCATTAATTTCATGTTGGAAATCTAATACTTTTGAGCTGGTGGTGTGTGAAATAAATTATCCATGTAATGTTTTTCATTATGGTGCAGAATGATGTTCACAGAGCAATCCAGAGGACAAACTCGGCCATGTTCAACCAGGTCATCATTCTCATTTGCACCCTGCTGTGCCTCGTCTTTACTGGGTAAGGCTACATCTTCAGAAATACTGAATTCAACTGTGTCCATTCAAATAAAGAGGAAGGATAAAGACAGTAAACAAATTCTTCATAAACCAATTTAATCAGTTAAAAAGGTGCTGCTCCTTAAAATTTCAGAGGAAATCACTAATAAATGTTAAAAATCCAATTTTCTCCACTAGTGTGATTTGATTAATTTCCAAGCTGCTGAAAGCTATGTAATGAGAAATGAGAAAGCTGCTGCAATTTACTTTGAATATGAACTAGCAGTACTGTTGCCAGCATGCCTTTTAGTCACTAAAATGTTGATGTTTACTTCAATAACCTGAAATAAAGTTCAGCTGTAATTTGCGCCAAGAATCATTACAGTTTTTAGAAACCAATAGTTTTTTTTTTTTCTGCTTTATCTGTAGAAACCTGAACCATGTACCGGTAAAACCGCAAAGCTATTTGCATAGGTTAAAGTGATGCAAAGCAGAGATTTGACATCCTTCTAACTCTCAAGCTGTACAAAGGATTTGCTCCTAAATTAGTTCTACCAAGCATATGTCTGATTGTAATCATGTTTTATTTCGGTTATACTTAATACAATATTATATTATATAGTAATACTTTTTGTTAATTATAGTTATACTTTAATTTAATGAGATAGACCCCTAAAATGTTTTTACATCGGTGTCCTGGCCAAGAAGACAACATCTCAAGGCCACAGATAAAGTACATTAAATTACAAAACATACAGTGTTGCATGTTATTTAACATAAAAAAATCATTCTTACACATAGTTTAGAAGACACCTAACTTTTTCTGTCTAATTGACTTTAAATGAGATTAAATATTTTGTGTTTCAGTCAGTTAGAATAAGCAAAATAACGTCTGTTTGCTAAATGTCAGAATAACTAAAGGTTTATTTTAGGAGATCTTTGCTTTACATCTTCAAAATTTAACAATTATATCAATTCTAAAACCATGCCTTGAATCAATTATGTTGTCTATCCTTCATCAAGCTTCTCACCGTAGCTTGCTTTGATTTTTATCCATTTCCCCTAATAAATAAATAAAAAAAGAAACTAAGAACTGAAAATTATCTTTTAGCAATGCCCTTAAGTTTTTCAGGTGACTGAGTTTAGGGCGTTGTAATGGATTATTACTCCAAAATATTTGCTTTATTGTCCCTAAACCACTATGTAACTAAATATAGCTTTATATCCATTCATTGCTCTTTAGAAAGACCAAATCATAAACTTACTATTGTGGATTTTTTGAGATGATGCTTTAGTTTTTTTCTTAACAGGTGTGCCTCTATTTATGCAAATATGACATCATTATTTGTGTTTTCCAGATTGTTATGAAGTACGAAGTAGGTATAAGGTAGAAGGTATAAGTAAAGCTAAACAATGTATATATAAAAACTATATCTGCAAAATCTCTTATATTCAACAAAAAAAATAAAAAATACTTTGGCAATTTTTGCAAAAATTAGAAAAAATTAAAATCCAATCAGATTTATAACCCCGACACTGCAGATATATTAGAATCTTTCCTTAAATAACAACTAAACCCATTTACACAGTAACAGATAAAAACATTTAAATAAATCAAATATTATCTGCAACATATCTGACTCAATAACCATTAAAACAACTATTTTCATTAATTTCAGATGGAACTATTCACATATTTGGAATATATTAAACTGCACTTCCAATATTCACCACAGTTTGGTGGCAAGTGCCTTTTTCCTCTGACCAGGAGCAGCCGGCTTGTTTGGTCTGGCATCGAATCCTGGGATATCCAAGGCTACATAGGATACACCGGACCCATCCTTCAAATTGGACAAAAAGGACGCATTTGTAGGCCTCCTAAGGAGGAGTTTTTGAATCCAACCAGATGTTGACAGCGCGCTACGATGTAATCAGCCTTTGAATCTGGCCTTCAGAGGACGCAGCCCATGAATTTGAACACAGCCACTGTCACTATCCAATCCATTCTGGTAGCACAATCTGTTCCATCAGCTCATAAGTGCATGTGTGAACAGAATAACTTCCAATTAGACAATATTTCTTATTTTTTTATTCTGTTGTCTGTTTGGTGGGCAGGGGTCTCTTTTTGTATATCTTTGTATTTGCTTAAATATCGTATATATCTTAAATTGCCTTAAAATCATTACTAAGTAAGTAAGTAAGTAAGTAAACTTTATTTGTATAGCACTTTTCACAGACAAAGTCACAAAGTGCTTCACATGATAACATAAAAAACAACACAAGTAAAAACAGATAAAATGCAATAAAAGCTATAATAAATAAGGGAATAAAACAACAGGCTATGTGCTTTGGAAGGCTAGTGAAAACGTGTGTTTTTAGCTGTTTTTTAAAGATGTCCACCGAGTCCAGAGAGCGCAGGGACAGGGGGAGTTCATTCCAAAGACGGGGTGCCACCGCTTTAAAGGACCGGTCTCCTCGGGTTTTAAAACGGGTCCGAGGAACCATAAGCAGGTTTTGACCTGAAGACCGTAGACTACGGACCGACGTATACGGCTGGATCAGACCTGTCATGTAGCCGGGCGCCTGTCCATGAAGGGCCCTGAAAGTAAGGACCAGGATTTTAAACTTTATCCTGGAAGCAACAGGAAGCCAATGTAGGGACTTCAAGAGAGGAGTTACATGGGCTGTCCTATTTGTACGGGTCAGGAGTCTTGCAGCAGAGTTCTGGACAATTTGTAGGCGACCCAGCTCCTTCTTGCTCAGACAGGTAAACAGGCTGTTACAGTAATCCAGTCCTGAAGAGACGAAGGCATGGATGATTCTCTCCAAATCATCGTGAGAGAGGATTTTCCTTACCTTGGAGATATTGCGCAGATGGAAGTAACAGTTCCTGATCAGTTGTTTTGAGTGTAGCGCAAGGGACATCCCCTCATCGAAAATCACTCCAAGATTACGCAGACTGGATACTTTGACTGCTCTGAGGATACACAAATATGTCATACAGTGTATACATTGAAATTTAAGTATTTCATTTTCTCTGTATTTAACTATGCACTCCAACAGTACTGATCACACATTGGATTAATTTGCAATCTTGTGGTGTGAATTTTTTTTCCAAAAAATAAAAAGGATGTCTCTACATTTTCTATTTGAAGGTAAAACAAATCAAAAATTCAAAATAAATTTAACTTTAATGAACTCGCCAGAAATTATATATGTGTATATAGTCTGTAAGTTTAACAATTTTTCAATTTAATGCTTAAATAACAATAATAAATTTTTTTTGGCCCTTGGAAAGCAATGTTTTCCATTTCAAGCTCAATCTAGAATATATTACACATTTAAGATGATTATGTTCTTTATTTTATTACATTTTTTATACTGGTAGGCACCTTACAGTCAAAGTAAAAATATATATTTAAAATGTTAAAATCAACATTATTTTAGAATTTTAAAAATGTATCTCTAATTTAATTATTATTTATTTATTGATTATTGGCTCACCATCACAAAGGATGTTGATGATTGACTAATAAAAAAGAAATATGGCTCATACCTTCCATAACCAGCACCTTTAACTTTAAAGACTTTTAGCATGACCGCTTTCGCATATGGGCGCTGACGAGCTAAGTGACAGCTGTGTCCTTTGAAGGCATACATTGGCTCTGTTCGAATTTATGGGCTGCGTCTTCCGAAGGCCAGATTTGAAGGCAGATTACATCACAGGTCTGTTCGGATTTCAAGACTCCTCGTTATGTGACCTGTCACTACCTGATCCATCCCAGAAGCACGATCCGTTCTGCGCATGCACAAACAGATATATATGCGGGTTTCCATAAATAATGTAATTATGGTACTAAAACTACTTATTTCTATCCTTAACTCACTAAAGAAGGCTAATAAACATCTGTAAAAGATGTTTTATGACCTCTTTGAGACAATTGTTATGCTTTTTACATTTTCTGCGCTAAACAGCTTCTCTGACGTCATCATGGGACATGCTCAGGGCAGCCCGGCAAAATATTATTAAATCGTGTTTATCTGCATTTTAGTTGTTTCCTTCTTTAGATTATGCACTATATAGCATAAGATTAAAACAAAATGATAACAAGTTTGGGGCTTTCTTGGCTTCTTTTGTTAGAAACAACCCCCATTCCAAAGGGGAGGACCCCTTCGTCCATTTGCAGTGAGAATAGCTTCAAGCATTCAATGATCCAAGTGTGTGGCATAGACTTCCTTGTAATCAATCGAGACAGTGCTCAGGTTAGTGTTTCAGGTTCTGCAGTCTTGACCTACCTGCCACCTGTTCTCTTCTGAGCTGTGCTCATGTGTTGATCCATGTGCTCGCTTATCTTGGCCACTATGAACCCGGACATGAGCTTCCATGTTGTGGAGAGGCCGGTTATTGGCCAATAGTTGGATGGGACAGTACCCTGTGAGGGATCCTTCAGGATCAGGATTGTGTACCCTTTGGTTAGCCATTCAGGTTGGTTCCTATTTCTCAGCAGCTGGTTCATTTGTCCTGCGAGCGTTGCTGTGAGTTTCATAAGCCAGTAGGCATGCGTCATGTCAGGGCCTGGTGCTGTCCAGTTTTTCATACCTGGACGGTGATGTCTGATGTATTTCCAGGGATCTGCTGTTACCACTCTTCAATCTTCCAGAACAGCCTTTTACTTTTCTTCCCTAGCTGATAAATGCATTTGTTTTAAATTTTATGGTTTATAATTTGGCTGTGTTGGACCTTAAGCTCTCTGCAAGGACATTTTTTTCCCCATTTGTATATTTAATTACCGCATCGTCCTCGTGAATTCAGTGATAAAACAAAAGACATAGTGGCTGAGAAACATGCATGGAAAAATAACACATCCTACAAGTTTGTAAATCCTTCCTTGAGTTTATATTAAGTTGTTTGATTGCTTTCATTCGTTTGACACAGCACATGTGGGATTCAGCACCTGGAGCGAGCCGGCCAAAATCTCTCCCTCTTCAATTCTTTTTACTTCTGCATTGTCACCTTCTCCACTGTGGGATTTGGAGACGTCACACCGCGCATATGGCCCTCTCAGCTGCTTGTAGTCATCATGATCTGTGTGGCTCTGGTGGTGCTTCCTCTCCAGGTAGGCAGCTCTTGAACTTTCTATGTTTTACGTAGGAGGTGTTTTTTTGTCTTTTTTTAATAAATCTGTTTGATGTTTGGCAGTTTGAGGAGCTGATCTACCTGTGGATGGAGAGACAGAAGTCTGGAGGGAACTACAGCCGCCATAGAGCTCAGACGGAGAAACACGTCGTTCTTTGTGTCAGCACACTCAAAATAGACCTACTCATGGATTTTCTCAATGAATTTTACGCACACCCCAGGCTGCAGGTGCCCAACAGCATCCATTCATGTGTTACTTAATCCACTGCGATGCAGAAAATCACATAATTCTTTAACATTTTTCAGGATTACTATGTGGTGATCCTATGCCCAAGTGAAATGGACCTCCAGGTGCGAAGGGTGCTGCAAATTCCCCTGTGGTCTCAGAGAGTCATCTATCTGCAAGGGTCTGTTCTCAAAGACCAGGATCTCCTCAGAGCCAAGTAAGTGGCACCTTTCTGAAATGAGTGGAAGCATTCTCACAGCTACAGTGTGATATTGCTTTGTCATGTAAACACTCAACAGAATGGAAATAGGTGGAAAAAAAATACAGCTCGTTAAATATATGTTATATTATTAATGGGTTTGACATAGCCATTTTGAGACAATGTGTCATAAAAAAGACCTGATACAAGCAGGTTGATGTTTTGGTTGAAGCTTTTAATAATACATTGTTTTTGGTCATGGTTTGATAATGTGCATTAAAACACTTGTTTACTCTTTAGTCCTTGATGGTATCATTGTTGGGCAATTTCTGTGATGTTGTGAGGGGAAGTTAGTGCACAATTTGAAATAGGAGTCATATGGACCACTGTGATAGACAGACTTACAGGCACCAAAAACCCCTGCAAGTCATTCTGTATTTAATGTTTGAATTTTGCTTTTTATCTTCCTGTTATTCACTGTTGTATAAAATAATTTTTTATTGCTTAATGTTTTGCTTAAAAAAGAGATCAGCTGAGAAGCTAAAACTAATGCTAATATAATCCAACTGGAGGTACTCTGCTCCGATCTAATGATTATGAACCTTTTCTGGCATTAGAACTTATTGGAACCCATAGAGCTTCCCAGCATGAATTCTTCCTTTAAAGTTAATTTTTTGTATTTTAGATACACATTATGTGCAAACCCTTATGATTATCCTTTCAGATACAGAGAATAAAAGCCAGTTGAATCTTTAAAGGGCTAAAAATTCTTACTCATTATCACATTATCACTTTAGTCTTAGTTTTGTTAATTTATAATAACTGATTTATATCAAATGTATAATAAAAAATAAAAATTATTATTCTTTTTGTAGTTTAACCTAGCCTAACCTAAGCATTATATTTCCTATTGAAGAATTACGATTGTGATCCTGGGAATAAATGTATAATATTACATTCCTCTTATCCCTTACATTTGAAATTTAGACTCATTGATAGAGAATGGGTATATTATGTTCTAGATTTAAAACTAATAAAAAGTAATACTCTTAATTCAATAAAGATGGTATTTTAAAAGAACTGGTGCATTAACATTAACATTTGTCAAGCTTGATACTTAATGAAAATTAATGCTATGCATATATAGTAAAATAACACAACTTTGATCAGTACTACATGGTCTATATTGACTGACTCACAAGTATTGCTTAGGGGGTTGCACCTATAGCAGAAATTTTCTTAGATCGACATCTGATTTGACATTGTTATTGTCACATGAGCCAAGCCCCTCCTCTCTAACTCCTAATTCTGAGAGTAATAATCTGATGGAGGAATCCATCAGATTATTACTCTGATCGGTGTTATCATGCAATCTGTTTAAGCTTGTGTTACTTCCAGGTGTCACACTCCGCTTTAAATTGGAAAAAAAGACACTAAGTAGCCTAAGCATGAACTATCAATGACAACTTACAACTTGTTTAGTTCGGAATAGGAATAAAGTCCACGTAATGCAGTTGGACGCAACCCGTACGAATGATCATTTATGAACCATATATATTTTAAAAGAGAGACCAATACATCGGCTGGACAGTATTTTTCAGCAGCCATGCTTTTAGATGACATGAAGAACATTCTTTGCCACTCCCTCCATTTGCTCCATTGTTTATTTTTTAAAATTTGTTAATATATATTTAGTTTTTGATTACGTTGAGACATGTGTAACATTTGTATAATTGGGTCCTTTTAATAATGACAATGAAGTAAAAAGAGGCAATATCAGCTTTTGAATTTGCAAAAAAACGGGCAGCACATATAGGGGATCAGTTTGACTGATGTCAAATTAATCAGTATCGGCATCACTCTTGAGAAAATTGTATTGGTTGATTTCTTACTATTTTTTTTTTTTACCTCCATTAAAGAATTCAATCTTAAAAATGATTAAAATAATCAAATTTTACAACTTGTTTAGAATTTTATATATTTCTTTAATACGTAATAGTTTTGCTTTCAGTTGTATATACAGCACTTTGATGACCTTTGTTATTTTTGAATGGGCTGTATAATATAAATTATAGGGTATATATGGTTTGTATCAGCATGAATTAAAGAGAAAGAAATAATTAAATGTTAAAATATAATTAACCAATTCAACCTAACCCTCCCTAAATGTGGATGCTAATGAACTCTTAATGGGGGCTTTAGGGAGCAGATGATATTTTGTGCTCCACATGAAATGACTCGTGTAGGCTCTGTAGATTTCTTGAATAAGCAGCAAACTGTAATTAAGGTTCTCTTCCTTCTGAAAAGAATTATTCTGATGTCCCCTGTGTTTAAGATCTGGAATCTGCTGGGTCACAGGTGGATTAGGGAAACTTTTATACTGGTTTTTGGCTCATCTGGACAGTTGAGGGCTTGTATAGGCACAGAAGCTCATTGGCAGGTCCCCCTGAGATCGTAGCAACATCCAAGCTCCAAGGCAGTTTAAAGCAATTGGAACAGCAAATTCTGTAGGTCAGAGTCTTCCTGTTGATTATATCTCTGTCTTAAGTCATTGGGGTATTTTTTCCGAACCTGCTTAAAAGAGAGCTAAAATTGGAACCTCAGCTTTTTTAACAGGGAAACCAGTTTGTTTCTTTGAATGGCAACATCCTCTATCCTTTCTTGACTTTAGTTTTCCCCCAACTACTACTTCTCTTCTAGTGCTGACTTCATGTCTTCCCCAAGGACACAATGCTGTTATTCACTATTCTGAATCTTTTATACCTCTTTGTGATATCTAGGATCAGATATTTGATTTTTTTTACTAATATTTACTGTTTTTTTTTTTTTTAACTGCAATACCTTCCTTGCCTTCTGCCTTTAGAAGGGACAACTTCTTGGGTTTAAATGCGTTGCTAATGCGAGACAAAGTTCTCTTTCTTATGACTTGCTACATCCTTTCAGCAGAATCCTCTTACCCTTGAGCTATATGTTTATAATACAAGTTGTAACTAATGCAGTGTTGATTTTACACACTCATATTTTTACAGTCATGGTTGGACATGTACAATTAATTAAAGAACATTTGCAATCATTTTAAATGTAACAAATTATTAGAGATACAGAGAAATCATTTCACAATCTTAATGATCTAAATTATTTAATGGTTATGGCTGGATTACTACTGTAATAAAATAGAAGGAAATTAATACAGCAGAGTAATAGCCTTTCATTTTAGATGAGTTTGGTTCTGGGACTATAACTATCTTTTTATAACTATCATTTCTTTCTACTCTTTCTTTCATTACTGGAGAAAAATACTGTATTCCATAGTATGGTAACACAGTCCATAGCAATATAAGACCACGGCCGAGAGGGAACAGAAAGACGTAGAAGAAAGCCAGATGGAGGCCTTCTGGATGTCTTTGGTTATAGAGAGGACACACTGCCACAAACTCCTTCACATCTGAAGACAGAGAGGGACACCAAAACTGATCCTGAACAAACCTGATAGTTTTGGAAACACCAGGATGACAGATTAAATGGGAGGAATGACAGAAGTCACCTTCTTTCTGAGATAGTCTAGGACAGGCATCCCCAAAGTCGGTCCTCGAGGGCCACTGTCCTGCAGGTTTTAGAGGGTTCCCTGCTCCAGCACAGCTGATTTTCATTGATAGCTGGTTAACAGGCTTTTGCTGAACTGCAATCATCAGAATCAGCTGTGCTAAAGCAGAGAAACCTCTAAAACCTGCAGGACAGTGGCCCTCGAGGACCGACTTTGGGGATGCCTGGTCTAGGACAAACAAGTGATGACTTCGACATCCAGAGGGAGAAGGATGGTTAAGGAGAGCTTGTTGGACTTCTTTTTCAATGCCAACCATAGTTCTGGAACACCTGATCCCACTAAGGGGCCCATCAACTCTCCTGGGTCGAACATGCCATCAAATCTGCTCCCTACATCACCACTGGGCTCTCTCCATTTTTAGTCGTTTTCGGTTTTCAAGGTTATAACTAAGGTTCCCTCTGCCTGCCTGTCTGCTCTCAGGAGTTAGCGGGCCTGAAAAGGGGCTAGGACGGCCATGGCTAAGGCCTTAATTGGTAAAGCCAAAGCTGCCGACCTTCACAGGGTTCCTGCATCTAATTATCAGGTGGGCCAGAAGGTTTGGCTTTACACAAAGGATCTTCCCCTTAAAGTAAATGGCAGAAAGTTAACCCCGTGCTTTATCGGCCTGTTCCCTATTCCCAAGGTGGTGAACCCATTGGCAGTCTACCTCCAGCTCCCTCGTTCACTTAAAATGCACCCTCCATGTGTCTTGGGTCAAACCTGTCATTACCTCTAGGTTTGTGTCCATCTCTAGAACCCCTCCTCCCACCCAGTTTATTAAAGGTGGACCCGTCTATACGGTCAACCACCTCCTTAGATCTAGTAAAAGGGGCAGAGGAACCCAGTAATTAGTGGACTGGGAGGGTTACAGAACTGAGGAGAGGTCCTGGGTCCCTGCCCGGTTCATTCTGGATCAGGACCTCATTTGATCTTTTCATAGGGCTCACCCTGATCAGCCCGTTGGGGTATCTGTAATGATTTTGGCACCTTTAGGTTAGGTTTTTTCCTTGGTGTTGTCCTCTGCTTTGCTCCAACCTTTGCTCATTAGCTCTCATCTCATCTACCTGCACCTGCTGCTATTTAAGCCCCTGGATCCCAGCCTTTGGTGCCAGATTATTCACGTTTTCTGGCAAGACTAAGTCCCTTTGTTTGGTTCTGCAGGGTCCTGGTCTATTTTCTGCCCAGGCACCTCTGAGTTTTTTGACCACCCCTGTTTGCTTTGTTAGCCTGCTGTGTTTGTTCTGGACTGTCACCTGGATATTCCACCTGGTACCAACCCTGGACCTGTCTTATAACCACTGCTTGGATTACCCATCTGGATGATTCAATTCCCATGAGTGCTCTGGCAGCTGAAGGACGCTGCTTCTCTTCTCTCCTAGATCTCTAGTGCTGGCTCAGCAAAAAGCAGAGGAGTTCCACTGCTCTGGACAACAAT